CCCCACGCACATTGCGTAATGTTTTTATTCTTCAGGGTTGAATGTGTCGCGTGAAGCAGAAACTGATGAGCAGAGTCGGTTCTGTCTGGAAGGACTGGATTAATGGATCTGGAGCAGAACTCAGCTGCGTTTTCTTACTGGGGCCAAAAACAACAAAACCTAAAGATGCGTAAAGCTGTCACGTGCAGTCGGGGACACACACGCACGCGGCAGAATGTGTTGTAAATGATGCGTAATTACAGCTGAAAGTGCTGAAGCTGCACATGAATCGGGTTCGTCTACTCCAACAAAGTTATCATTGTCAATAAGTATGTTGAGGAATATGATGTTTTAATCCATGATCACAGATGAAATGACAGATTCAGAGATTAGTTCAGAATTGACCTGTTTGCCTGAGCCTGGTTCCGACCTCCGGTCTCTCCGGGGGTCTCCTCTCCCCCCTGTAGCTCTGGAGACCCTCTCCATCCTGCTCCCCGGCGGGAGGGCAGCTCCCACGGCTGCTTCCGCTGGTTTTTAAGTTCAGGATGTTGTCAATGGTGAACTTGAGAGAAGCTGCGGATCGACATGACGCGTCTTTGTTCATATTAGAATCCGTCGCTTTAATCTCAGATTGTCGCAGGATGTTAATCTCTCCGCGGCCGTTCGGAGAGTCCACGAACCATGTCCGCAGCCTCTGAGCCCACTCTGCTGACCGCCTGCCTGCTCTGTCACACATGCACACACGCGCGCACGCAGGACTGCCCTTTTTGTCGTCACTCATTGGTGCAGGAAGTGGACCAATGGCGACGCAGGAGGAGAAGGAGGAAAGAGAAGGTTCCTCCTCACTTCTCTCAACTCCTGTTTCAGTTCGAGCCCCGCAAAGAGCTCCTTTTGATGATTAAAAAAGATAATTATATTTTTAGTAATTAGTAAATGGGCAGTCCAATTAGTCATTCTATTTTTGCAGCAGGTTCACGCAGCGCAACAAGCAGTTTATTGAGTCACGTGACGTTTCCTGAGGTTGATTTAAAAAAAAACTAGTCACAAAACAAACATGCAGACCTTGTTAATCAATTTTCCACCTCTAATCAATAGCTTTGATTATTTGTAAGATGTACATAACTGCCCCATCTATTTCAAAGAAGCATCTTTTAAATTTGATACTTTGGCGACTTTTGTGACTTTATGCACGATGAAACAAATTAAATATTAAATATAATATTTAGTATAACAAAAAAGTCATTTTATAGTGTTGCATTGTACTCTCTTCCATTTAATTAATTGATTTTAGTTTTAGAAGCATTTTCCCCTTAATGTCAAGAGTGAAAAAATTTTGAACAACTAATAAACATAAATTTATTAAATTCAACCAGTTTCTGTTTGTGTGTGTGTAGTTACTTAAACTTGGATAAAATAAATCTTTTATAGGCGTTTGAGTAAAAAACATTAAGATAACTTTTTTTTTCTGTGAACTCAAATGCCAAAAAGTTATATTACATATTTACCAAACGTTTGGTAATTGGTAAAAGAGATTAAAAAAAATTACATTCAGCAAAATTTGCCAATTTTTACTTCCTTTATTTTCTCAACCTTTAATTTGAGCATATCCCTAAAGAAGAGGAAGCAAAACTTCAGCAAGTGTAAAAATATAAACTTTCATTGGCAAAAACACATTTAGGATTAATTCAATTTACTGTAATTATATTAATAAAATGATTAGAACAAAAGGGATCTTTGGTGCTTGATATTTTTATTAGTTTTATTTGGTGAAAATAGTGACAAAGTTGGCAAAAATCTGTGGCTTTAAATAGAAAAGTTAGCAAAAATATGTGTATGAAACAGAAAGTGACCAACCTCAGCCTTTTTTTCCTGATTATGATTAAAATAAACACACTTCTATAGAGTTTTCTCAACATAAATATAAAGATAATTGCTTTAAAATGTTTGATTCTTCATGTTGTCTTTGGAGCAGGTCTTCAGGTTATTGCACGATTCATTTGAACTGAGCGACTTTCTGCAGTTTTCACACCAAGCTGCTCATCTGGGATCGTAAGAAGCTCATGGAGTGAGCGAACGACGACAGCGGGCAGCTGATGGAGCTGGAGAGCCCCACCACCGAGGGACACACCGCATGTCCGTTCAGGTTGAAGCCCATTGTGGGCGCAGACTCGTGGTACAGAATCGGCACCCGGACAACCCGCTGGGTTGAGTTTGGGACGTGCGCAGCCTCCAGATCCGCCGTCAGCTGCCTCTTCCACTTATTCCTCCGGTTCTGAAACCAGATCTTCACCTGAGTCTCCGTCAGATGCAGAGACGCCGCCAAGCCCGCCCTCTCCGAGCTGCTCAGGTACCGCTTCAGGTCGAAGGTGGACTCCAGCTGGAACACCTGGCTGCGGCTGAACACCGTGCGAGTCTTCTTCTTCCGGTTGGAGGTCTGCTCGGACGCCGTGTCCAGCCCAGACCGTGCGTCGGAGGCGTTCGGAGCGTCCTCGTTGTCGTCCGTGAGGCTGCCGTCGGCCGTTTTCCTGTCGGTTTCATCGCTGGCCTCCGTCGTGGGCTCAGACACGGCAGGTGAACCCCGGTCACTGAGGCAGCAGTGATCCTTCATGTTGTTTGGACCTGAAAACAAATCAGAACAATAAAAACCCTGTTCGAATAACCCTGGCTCGCAGGTATTTGTTGCTAAATATTTACCACTTAAATATTCTAAAACGTGGGTCTGCACTCAACATAAACAAAGCCCTTTAATTTACTCAACACATCAGTAAAGCTGCTGCACTTCCATGAGCTGTTTTCTCACGTCCGCTGGTTTTCATACAGGCCAAAACAAAGTTTTTAATTTAGGTACAGATCATTGATGGAAAAATATTTTGCAGATTTTCCTTTTTAAATTAAAATGTATTATTTTTATGATGTCGCAACGACTACCATGAACTTTTTATTATTTTTATTTTTAGCAATTTATTTATTAAATAATGATTTAAATTAACTAGTCTGCTGAAATGAGAAATGCTGTAGTAAAAAAAAAAACATATTGACCTAAATACTTGTTTAAATAGTGTTTACCTTCAGGGCATAGACTGGATTAATGTTGGGAGTCTTAATTACATAAAATTATTTAAACAACAATAAAAAAAAACATCTTCTAAACACATTAGAAAACAAAAATACTTGTGTGATTGTCATTAATCAGAGGGTTAATGGAGATGTTTGTGGTGTGAAGTCAAAGTGACAACATGAGAGGGAGGGGCGCGTGATTATGACGGTGTCAGTAATGGCACCGCATGTGCGTCCAAGTCTCATGTTCACGTGCAGAAGTGCGCTTCTCATGTCTCTTTTAAAAATGTTTTGTGCCTAATCCGTGCACGCACCGTCCCCAAACTGTGTTTTGAATCTCATGATGGAAAACAGGAAAACTGTCCACACTGGATGAGTTACAATAATCGTTGCGCCTGTGGTTTGGAAAACGGCTAAAAGCTTTAAGGTCGAGCAGCTTTTTATGTTTGAGCGCAGAGGAACAGGAGCCTCGTTTCATTATTTCAGTTAAATGTAACCTGAGTTTTATTAACTCAACAAACACATGCTTAATCAAAAGACCAAAGATACAAAATAAAAATGGCTGTGATGAATTTAGATCATTAATCTTGCAGCATGAAGCTCCTTTATTTATAATATCTAAGTGAAACACAATTTATCCATTTTACGCATGAGTTGAGATAATTTAGGTTAAAACAAGCCACTGATCTGAGCTTTAATGAGCACGAGCTTGACTCACTGCAGGTGCTCTCCACAGCTCTCGTGCTCCCCGTGCCCCTGCGGCTCCACAGCAGCGGGGAGTGTCTGTGGGAGGACCGGGCCACGGAGCTGGAGCAGCCGGGCTCCGGCGCGCTCTGCTCGGTGTGATGCGCCATGAAGTCCCGCCCGTCGGAGACGCTCTCTGCCTCCGTCCGCCTGCTGCTGCACGCGGACGCGTGCCCGTCCTGCCCTGTCCCCAGCAGATTGTCGATCAAAAACGACGACGCCCTGGATGGAGCGGGAGTCTGGCTGTCTGTGCGCGTGTCCCGCATGGCTTCCTGAAGCCACCGAGCCGCCACGCAAAGGGTTCTCCTCGGATCAAGGCGACCTGCAGCTCATGTCCAGCGTCGCTGCCCTCGCGCTGCGGCTGGACACGGAGACATGGCGGAGACGGGGATGTCCTCCGTGCACGCGGGATGATGACACGGAGACAGAGACCGAGGAACTAATGAGCCGAGGGCACCCAGCGATTGGACGAGCGCGCAGGCAAACGGGGCTTTCCAAGGAATAGAGAATTACTGTCTGTGCGCGTGTGTGTGTTCACGTGCACCCCCCCCCCCGCCCCCCCGAGGCCACGCAGACCGGAGGAAGCCTCAGCGCTGCAGCGCTTTAGATTTGGGTCAGTTCAAGTGCAAATCAAAATAAAGATTCACCACAGCATCATGGAGGCCGACAAATATAAAACTGTACGCGCGCGTGCGCTTCTTTAAGCCAATAGAACAATAAGGGTCAGTATATGAGTGAGTTTGCTCAGGGGTCAGGATTTTACTGAGCAAAGAAACCGAACGACGTTTATTGTTCATTGTTCCGTTTGTTCAGCAGCTGCAGCTAAAAGTGTTTATTTATTTATTTGTTTGTTTGTTTATTTATCTATTTATTCTCTGTTCTGTTTGCTCTATCATTTGATCTTCTTACACACAGGTGGTGTTTATTGGGCTTTATTTGTGTACATCAGTGTTTTCTGCTTGTTTTTATTTTTAAATTAAAGCTTTGGCTCGTTGATGCTGATTGGTGAAACAAATATGAAACAGGATTATGTTTAAAAAGTTTTTTTTTTTTTTAAGTTTGATTTGGCATCTTTTATGTATTCAAGCACCACACAAATAATATATAATTTTTAGTTTATTAAAGTATAATAGGACATTTAATCTTCATCATCTTTCAAAGGAGGACTGGTAAAACATGAACAGCCTGAAGGGTGTGTGTGTGTGTGTGTGTGTGTGTGCGTGTGTGTGTGTGTGTGTGTGTGGGGGGGGGGGGGGTCAAGGATCTGTGTCAAATTGTGTCAATCATTATAAATAAGCTGTCTGACATCACAAGAAGCACCAGATTAACCCTAAAAATAACATAAAAACTAAATAAATGATCAAATTATACTCTTAACCCGAACTAGTTGACTTTACTAGAAAATCGCGTGGAAACCCGTTGCCTTAAACCATTCTAGTTTTTACACAAAGAAGAAACTAAACATGTTTAGTTGTGTTAACTTGATAACCTCAGTACAATGTAGTAAATACATTTAGTAGTCACTACTTATCAATTTTAGTAGTGACTACTAAATATATTTACTACATTGTACTGATGTTATCAAGTTAACACAACTAAATATGTTTAGTTGTGTTAACTTGATAACATCAGTACAATGTAGTAAATA